AAGCACTGCTCAGCAGTAACGAAAACATCCCTGTGTTATCAACACTGTTTCCAGCACAAATCCAAAACACAGCCCCATACTAGCTACTGTGAAGAAAATTAACTCTACCCCAGCCAAAAGCAGCACAGCATCCTAACTGAAATTGTATATTGCTTTCAAGGAGTGCAGTTGAGCCAAAGGTTGAAGTAATAGTTACTCCTATAGAGAAAATGTATAAAGTCATAGTTGAAGGAAGCCTTTGGAGGGGGTAGATAGCAGAGGAAGAGGATACGACTGGGAGCATGTTTGTGAATGACTAATGGCTTTTATTTACTACTTGACATCATCTCTTTGGAACTGCTACATTATAGCAATAAAAGTATTTTTTTTTAAAGGCAAAACCATCTGTTGCTACTCTTAAGTTAAGGGGTTGCTCTCCCACTACATTTTTAATAAGTTTTATGAAGCTTTATGATTGTGTGTGTGTATATATATTTTTGATATATATATATAGTTATATTATAAAAAAGTTGTATGGAAAACAGTGGGACAAAACCACAGAGTTCTGCATGTGAGTGGGGTGAGACTGAGGTTCTAGGACATCAGTTCTTCCACTCCTTTTGTCATAGCAGGTGGAGGGCAGCACAAGAGTGTGCATATATTGCCTCAGGCTCTGGTTTCCTCCATCATTTCACTGTCTATGAAAATAGTTTGTTCTCCCACCAAAACAATGCATACTTTTTTTAAAATAAAAAGAATAGGGGAAAGAAGGAGGTACCATAGGCTCATGTATTTGTAGACTGGCTGGGAATGTCCTACAGCCTCATCCTCTGCACACAGGGCTTACTACTTCTTGGCCTCTCTTTCACTCTTTTACTTCCTTATTCCTATAGTTTAGGAGTTTCCTATGCATCTTTTCCCTGTTTTCCCCAGCAAGATCTTGTGGCAGAGGATGCCAGGATAGCAGCCCTTCTGGGGTGAAAGCTAAAGGAAATTTCCTGGTCGCTGGAGTCTGACAATGAGTTGTAACGTAACAAGGCAGATTGCAGAGTTTTCAGCTGTTTTAACAACTAGTGTTTTGCTATGAGCTGGAATGGCAGCTTTGACCTGGTCTACAGTTCTTCTGATGGTTTAATTTGGAGGAAAGGGAAGCTCTTGTCACTGCATCATTTCTTCATCACAGTAAGATGATGTTCTTCCCAAAGCTGTTTATCCAGTTGGATAAAATGGGGCAGGGAGAGGGCAAGCGAAGATTCTAAAAATGACTTCTGGATGGATCTGAGGGCAAGACTGAGAGTTAGGATGTTTTGATCAATTTAAAACGGGTGTCCCTGGACCTTCTATATCCACTTTCCCATTGTGTTTTAGATGACAATGCTAATTTTACGTCATATAGGAGTAGTGTATCTGTTAAACTTTTGCACAAAAGATCAAATTGAATAAAGAACTTCAAATGTCTCTTTCTTTATTTCAGTTCACTCAGAAGATGTTGGATAACTTCTATAACTTTGCTTCCTCATTTGCTGTTACTCAGGCACAGATGACCCCAAATCCTTCTGAAGCTTTCATTCCTGCAAATGTAGTTCTGAAATGGTAATGGCAATGATCTCTGGTAACAAGTGTTCTTTTTTCTAGGCATTAAAGCAGCTGATTTCTAAGTATTGAACTACTGTCATGCTAGTCAGTGAGATGACGCAAAAATGTTTAAAAGTGTTTGTTGTTATTTATCTCAAGTATAGAGAGGTTCTATCCACTGTTCTTATTTGTCAGCATCTTCATATCGATTTTTTGTTAGAAAAGTGCTATACAGCCTATGAAATTTTTTTTGCTTCTAGAAATGTCACCCTTGACATATGTGGATTTGCACGATGTTGCTGATGATGCAAATGCTCTGGAGTCATGGGAAGACAGAACACACTGATACTTGTCAATTTGTGCTCATCTGTTATCCTTGGTCTCTTCCTAGACATAGTTCCAGCATAGTTCCATTGCTTAAGAATATGTGAGGGGTGGAGAAACCGTGTTCCTAGTTGACCTGGTTCTGTCACCAAGACCCTTGAGCACAAATGCAAAAGTCTCTCTGAGAGTTGTTTTCCAGGGACTGGTTGAAGAAATAACTGTCTATGGGGATAGCCCATGGAGTCTGGAGATAAGTTGTGAACTGCAGGCAGTCCTTTAGGATGTCTGAAAAATTCTGTCCTGTAGTTTATCAGTTTAGCCCTCTTCAGCCTCTACAGTATTAACCCAAGCCCTTTCTGAAACAGTATTTTGTGCTCTGAAATACAGTTTTATCGTTAGTACAAATCTCGTGAATACGCATGCAGTTAACGTAAGCAATATATTTTCTTTGGGAGTGTACCTTGATGCAGATCTACTCTATTTAGAAGGTAACTCTACGGACTGCATGAACGTATGCGGTTGAGGTCTCTGATGAGAGCAATCAAAGGGAAGACAGGCTAAAGAAGCAGGGTTATGGCTGGTTATTGCCTGGATGATGCTGAATTTGCTTTTGGTTGTTGTTCAAAACAGCGTAGTGAAGTGAGGCATAACTCTAATAAACTGAACACATTTGTGTATAGAAATCTGTTAATGTGATTACAGCCACAGAAAAAAAAAACCAACTTTTTTTTGGCTCTGTTCATATGTTTGAGTGTCATTATGACATGTTTAATTATAGCTTGTAATATGTAGAGTATCTTAGGTCTTGGCAATGGGCTGGCTGCAATGGAAATTCAATGGTTTGGCTTAGAAATTCATTCATAAATAAGCCTTTCTCTAATTTGAGTGGGTTTAAAACACTTTAGAGTCTCTTTTCTCATTTGAGTTGGGTTAGGAGCTATGAGATGTGGGAGAACCTTTTTGTTTTCTTTGATTCATTGGCAGTACTTCTTGATATCTTACAGCTTGGGTTTGTGAGGATTGAAAGGGGTTTTCAGTCTTTTGTAGCTCAAAGACTGTGGGGTTCTTTTTTTTTTTTTTTTTAGAAAGTCACAGAAATTATGTACTTTCCCTATTTCTTCACTGTAGGTCAATAATGAATTCTGATGTTTGGTTTGTTTGTGGCTTGCTTGTTTCTGTGAGTATGGAGAGTGAAATTAGGACAGCATGTGTGCATACTTGATTTCATTATGTGTTAGAGAATTACTTTTCTTCATTAGATTTTTACTAAAACATTACCGTATTCAATAAATATGGAAGTTAGAATTCTTTGGTGAGGGTGGAAGAATAATGGGGACTACTTTGTCTCAAGATTTCTATTAGAACTACAGGGCAAATCGATGCGTAGCCTTGAGTGCAGAATCATCTGCAGTCCCCTCTTCCTTACCTGTGAGCAGGTTGCGCATAGCCTGCTAGGAAGCGATCCCGAGTTGGAGGCTGTGGTCTCTGTGCAAGCCTGCTCCCGTCTGTCAAGCTTGCTAGCTCATGTCCACCGTCCTGTGAACTGAGAAGTGCTGAGCTGGCTCTGTGCGTCCTAGATGGAGCAGCACTGAAGGGGTAGTACAGGGACAGCTGAACTGGATTCAGAAGCAGTGGTGTTACACTGTAATACGGGGAAAAACAAGGCATCCCTAAATGGCATGAGGTTTTCTTGGTTTGGTTTTGCTGGCGTTTCTTCTGTGAGATACCTGGCCTGATTACTAGGGTGATGGGCAGCATCAGACTCACCTGCCTGAACTTTGTTTTTCTAGCCCCAAAAATGTTATGCACAAAATAGCCGCTTTTAATTCACCTAAAATTTTACTAAGCTTGAATGAGCATCCTCTGGGATACCACTTTAATGAAATACATATTGTTGTCGAAATACATCAATATTCTTGATATGGAATCAGAAAGGATGATTTTGGATTTACTCACTTCCTGGTGTGGAGTAGATGTAATTTATCACATTCTCCACATAGACTAAATTATTTGTATCATATTTGAAGCCACTTTATTTGCAGCAGCTTTTGTTTTTTTGGTTGGTTTTTTTTTTCCTAGGTATGAGAACTTCCACAGACGTCTGACACAGAACCCTCTCTTCTGGAAAACATAAGGTTAAATTGTGTCATTTGAAGTGATTTCTAAACAGTGTTACCTGAAAGATGCAGCAAGTATCCACTGAAGAATTTTGGGAGAAAAAAAAAAAAAACAACGATTAGTCTGAATAGACACACTTGTAACTTTTGTATTACTCTTGAAAATTATTTAAAATTAAAATCCATAAAAACTACTTGCCTACGCATTTTTTTTAATTGAAGTACTTGGCTGCAACAAGAAATCGGTGCTCCATGTGCATGCGTAGAAATACTCTTTTGAAACTGCATTTAAAGTGGAAGAAATTACAAGATGAAAAATGGCAGCACTGTTCCGTACTTCTGTAATGTTTTGGGGTGTTCAGTTGTAAACAAAATAAATGTAGTTTCTCCTTCGCCTCATTCTGAAGGGTGATCAGGCAACTGAGAATATGCTGATGGTTTTCCTGCTGGTACTTACACTGTACATTCTTCCACTTTGTGGACAACCAATATTCCTGTCCCCAGCTCATAAATGGTACAATAGTATTTCCCTCTTTTTGGCATGAAGACACTATTGAGCTTGATCTTGGGGTACCCGTCTTTAACTTTTCATGTATGGAACTGTAATGAAGAGAAATCTTTGGGAACTCT